GGTATGCCTTGTCGGCTGGTTTTTGTTGTATAGTCTTTCATGGTAGCGTGGTAGCTCATACCTTATATGTAGTTTCTTGATTGTCTGGTCATCCCCTCCTATGTATGTTCATGCCATCATATTTTATTGTTGGTTGTCCATGATCCATGTCTACCATTTATATTGATCTTGTCAACCCTAAAAGATAATTAAAAAAAAGTTAGATAAAATGTATGTTAGTGCTCGACAAGATGGTCGGGTGCTAGTCATGGCCCTCCAGTTTGGGTCGTGACACTGGGTCTCGTGTGGTGAGTCTAGGTTGAGGAATTTTGGTATTATAGCAAAAAGAAGTATCAAGTTGAAGGTAAATTAGAAGGAACTTGGATAGATGGGATAGCTTGATAGTAGGTCGGATCGTCATGGTAAGGATATGATTAGTTCTTTATATGCTTACGAAGTAATGAGTTTCTACAGGTGTTTTGCGGCAATGCTCTTAGGTTTAATGGCCTGCGTAGCTTGGTTGAGTTAGAGGGATTCATTCCTGACAATTTAGTTTTGTCCAAATGGAATTCGGAGAGTTCTTGATGGTTTCTACCACAGTTAGAGATGCGTATTTTCTATGAGCGTGAGGAGCAAGGGATGTGTAGTGAATTTTCTTCTAGATAGGATCAATGGACCGCGTATATCGGTCTTGTGTGGTAACTATTGGAGGTTTGGAGACCTGAGTGGATCCTTATTGCTTAGTAGGCTAGATTTTGGTGTGATATTGAGTGTGGATTGGTTGTCTCCGTATCCTGTTAATCTGGACTGTTGCGCTAAGGCGGCGATGTTGGCTATGCCGGGAATACCACGAATTTAGTGGTGAGGTTCGACGGATTATGTTCCCAGTAGAGTGTTTTCATTTTTGAAGACCCAGCGAATGGTTGGGAATGATTGTCTTTCTTATTTGTCCTTCGTGATGGATGTCAGTGAAGAGACTCCTACCATTGATTCAGTTTTGATGATGAGGGGTTTTCCGAATGTGTTTCCTACTGCCGTACATGTCGCCGGATGGGGTTGTTGATTTTAGTATTGATTTGGTGTCGGGTACCAAAGTGTATGGCACCAGCGGAGTTAAATAAGTTGAAGGAACAGCTTCTGGAATTCCTTGGTAAGGGGTCCATTGGTAGGCCAATATAGATGCGTGTTCTACATCGAGTCGGCTTGGTTGACTCTGAGTTGTATTGTTGAGGGGTGTGCTGATTCGATTGTTATTAAGGTTATTAGTGATCTGGGGAGATCTATGAGTTACCCTTCCGTGTTGTGAGGTGTTAGGATTTGTTGGTTATAGGCACATGTGGTGCGGTTTCTGCTAGGGTCTCTCAGTGGAATTCGAGCGGGAAGAGTATAGGGTATTGCTCGGCGGATGGCGTATCGATTGTGTCCTTTCGAGTTTGCGTAATGTTATGTCAATTGCTTCGCAGTGGTTATGATGATTTGTTTTGGTTCTAGATATCAAATTGCGCGCGGTTGTTGATTTTGACCATAGTTACTTGAGGTGTTTCATGTGGACCAGTATTTGGTAAGGGTCGCGTATTGCAGCGAAGTTATGTGGAGGTATGACCCTTCGGGTTAGATCCGTGTGTTCTATTTCTATGATGTGTAATGGGTCCCCATTATTGTGACGTGGCGATACTGGTGAGCTTGCGGTACAGCTTTCTCATTTGAGTCATTTCCATGATTGGAGTATGTTCGGAATGTTTCTTATTGGTGCGCAAATTGCACGAGTTGTGGCTTTAGTTTGTATTGATGTGTCATGTCACCAGAGTAGTTGTGTTGGATTAGATGAGATCGTTGGGATCTATAACAAATACAAACGGGTTAGATTTCAGCATGTTGGAAGGATAATATTGATGTTCGTCTTAGAAATTGCCATGGTCCTTGCCAAAAGAGAAGGGGCTTCACGAATGGTTGATCTGAGGAGTGGTTATGAATTTCTACGTGTTTCATTTATGATTTACAGTTTACAAAAGGGTTGGAATGAGGCTTTATTTGATAAAAGGCTTATTATCGAAATTCGGATGTTTTGAGCAACTGTTGTGATTAGAAGTTATCGCTAAAAGTGTTTGAGTTATGTGGTATGTCATGTAATTGCACCTGAGGTTGCAGGTATGGGTTATTATAGCTGGTTTAGGCTTATTCAGAGTATAGATGTGAGATTCTGATTTGGTAGATGGTTTCAGAAGGGAAATATGGTTCTAAGGTTTATGGGCTAGGTTGGATTGTGAAATTTTAGTTACATTTGGTTATTGGACCTATATGAGATAGGGTGACATATGATCACCCCCAGGTATGTGCATGGTAAGGTGACACAATGATTTGATGGTTTTCGGAACAACTCTGGCACATTCGAGGATGAAGGTATGTTTAAGTGGGGGAGGATGTAACGACCTGACCGGTCATTTTAAGATTTTGCACTTTGCTCGCTAGTTCTCGGGCATGACTAGCCCCGTGTAATGTATTATGACTTATGTAAATCACCGGTTTTGGTTTTCAGGGTAATCAGAATGAATTTGAAAGAACATTTCTTAGTTTGAAGCTTAAAATTTGAAAGCTTTGACCAAATTTTGA